ATAAAAATTTTAAATTAAATTAATATTAAAAATTATTTAAAATATTCATTTTTTCCTCTATGTTATCTCATTTTTCCCAGATAGAAAAATAAATCTACCAAGTTAAACTTTTCTACTAAATGAATTCTAGAAAAATAAATAAGCTTAGAGCTGGGCATGGTGGGACACGCCTTTAATCCTAGCACTCAGGAGGCAGAGGCAGGCAGATCTGAGATTGAGGCCAGCCTGGTGTATATAATGAGTTCCAGGCCAGCTGGGGCTACAGGGAGACCCTGTCTCAAGGTAACAACAACAACAAAATAATCTTTGATGAAGCACAAAATGTAATGCAGTGAGAGTATAGAAGAGCACCAGAGGTAGGCACATAAATCCCAGGAGTCAACAGGAAAGTGTGCTCTTCTTTCCCTACCATTTGTTCATCAGTAGCTCAGAGTCTGATGAGCCACATGGATGTTAGTACTCATGGAAAACCTAAAAATAAATCATAACCCAGGAAAGCACCTTTGAGCTTCTAAGGATTCTCAGCAATACTACTTGGAAGCACGGGAAAGAATCTCAAGCATGTCTTAGAAGATGGCACCCCATTCATGTCATTTGGTGAGTGTATGCAAATAAGATATTGGCTTCTTCCCATGCTGAGAAAATTGAGTTACCTTTGTCCAGTATTTTAAAGTCAAGGTTAATGTTTTAGAACATGCTTAAGGTTATTTTGGTTATAAAAACTTATTGTATCTAAAAACTGTATTATCTGAAGAGCTGCATAACTTTCCAAGAGTGTTGGAAGCCAGAATTCATTGGACAGTTATTGTCTGATGACAGTATATGGAGTCTGTTGACAGTATATGGAGAGGGATTGAGATTGAGGGGCATCTTGGCTTTGCTAAGTATCAAATCAAATCTCTTCTTGCACACAGATACCTCTTCTGGTTCAGAAGATGAAGGCTCAGTGCAGGGTGATTCCCAAGGAACCCCCACCTCTAGCCAAGGCAGCATCAACATGGAGCATTGGATCAGCCAGGCCATCCATGGCTCCACCACATCCACCACCTCCTCCTCCTCTACGCAGAGCGGGGGCAGCGGGGCCGCCCACAGGCTGGCAGATGTCATGGCCCAGACACACATAGGTGAGTGCACCTGGAGGGCTGGTGCCTTTACCCTTCCCGTTCTTACTCATTCTCTCCATTTTCTAAGCCAGCACTGAGTGCTCATTTGTTCTTTGGGTGTGCTCTGACCATAGACTGTGATGGACACAAACAAAGCATTCCTGGGTTTTTATTCAACACCCCAGTCTCTTTTGTAGTCAGAATTTTATCAGCTTTCTGATTATGTCAGATTGTGTCCTTGTTCATTAGGAAAGCTTACAGCTGTGTTTGCTTACTTAATTGTGTCTCAGGCTAAAATATACTAGATCTTGATTTGGAAGACAGGTACACAATAATGACTGCTATATACTTTTGTCTCACCCAGTCACATGTAGCCTGCATTGCTCCATTTTATTCTTATTGTTTCATTTTTTTAAATCAGAATGATGCTTGTGAATTGTTTTGATCTGGCAAACATCATTGGATTTGTTTAAAAGAGGGACTTCTCTGAAATATGCTTTCTTAGTACATGCATTTGACTGCATAGTTAGCACATAACAGCCATAATACAATTCACATGTAAAATCAAAATGGCTCTTTTTATGGTAACTTTCTCAATGAGATTTAATGGTGCTGGTCGACAGGATAGGCTTTGCAGTAGAATGCTGCTGCTCTGAGAATCAGGGACCTAAATAACTATTGATTTCTTCCAGAAACATTCAGGTCTTTAGGTGCCTCACATTGTTCTGTGTGTAGGGCTCTATAGCAAGAAAGGTGTTAATGGATGAGAAAAAGCACAAGGTTCACAACCATGAAGAATCAAAAAATAATAGTTTAGGAAAGGAAAGAATTATTAGAGAAAATACATATTGGATGAGATGAATCTGAGCAATGTTACTATTTGGACCTATATCTTTGTCACTTGTCACTGTGCCCAGGCCAGTCCTCATGTATAGGGCAGAAGTAGGATACCTAGATTTGTTCTTGTCCATTGTTCCCTGTGTGGAGATGTTCAAACAGTTCCGTGGGAAGAAGTTTCCACAAGGTTAAATTCTTTACTAAGATACAGTGTGCTATCTCCATCAAATAGCCAAGGGGAGGAAGGGCCAGGCACTCAGAGGCAGCTGCACATCCGCTATTATCAATACCAGGAGTATGAGATGTAGGTGCAGTCCTCCTAGTCATATCTGCAATGTTGTGGGAAGACCTCACCACATTGAGAAACAGGAAATGGAGTTAAATACTCCCAAATCATCTCAGATATCCAGAGTGTGTATTTCTTGATCTTTAACTACTTGATAGGCAGGCAAAGTAATTTCAACCTGACATTTTAAGACCTAACCCCATTCTCAGTGAATGAAGGTAAAAGCATTGACATTATTGCCTGAAGAGCAGCATCTGCTTCAAATTCTCCCATTAAAAACCACTGGGATCTTGAAGTCACTTTTATTTTCCAGCGAGGGGGAAAATGAGAACCATCATTTCTTGCCCTGTACCTCTCAGACCTGTTGTAAATAAAAAGGAGAAAGCTGAAACAGTCTGAACAAAGTTTTAAACTGAAGCTCTTATTCAAAGTGGTATTATTTCAATATAATACATTTTCAGGAATATCATGGGTTAATATGACCTAATAACTTCCCTTTGGAATCTCAGAAAATGAAACATTGCATATAAATGTCACCATTAAACACTTAGACGACACAATTTCTTTTTGCACATTGGAGTCTGGAATGGTGACCAAGGCTGTCAGCTGTCCGTGGTACTTGAGCAGAGGGGTTTCCCACAACTTCTGCTATGTGGAAGTGTTGGTAGTCTCTGATTTTATCTTTTTTAAGAAGTTGCTTGGAATCATTCCAAAGGACCACAAATTTTAAAAAAATTAATCACCGTCTTTGGCTTTCTCTTTGCGAGTTTACACTTGGAATACTGAAGGAAATTATAGCATGCAGAATTAAATTTATCCAAACTATAAAAGGTTGTATTACTCATATACACCAAGGCTCCAGTGTGACCTAAATATAACTCCTGAGTGTGTGACATTTAAGCAATTTCTCATTTGGCACAAGTTCCTAGGATATCTGGGACTTGAATGCAGGAATGTTTTTTTTTTCAAGCAGTGGCAAGAAAATGAAACCTGATGAGAATTAGAGTACTTCACTCCAATGACAAAATAAAGACGACAAACATCACAGTTGTCAGCACTCACCTGTAGAGAACATCAAAAGCTTGGGAACAAGAAAACTGTGCGCATGTGTGTGCTTGTACTTGTGCGTTCAAAAGAACTCAGAGAAAAACCCTGGAGTTGGGTTTGATCTCTGTAGGTCACTTGGCTTCACCCGAAGCCTCTCGAGACTTCTTTTGCCCATGGATGAGAAAAGCCCATGGGGTTGACAACCACACAGTCTCCCCAGAAATGGACTTTCTTCTCTTTGGTTAAAGTCAAGTCTCAAATTCTTCGTGCATTTTTCCACAAAATTTCATTGTGCATGTACAATGGCTTCCATCGTTGTGTTTTGGTAGTCAGGCTGGCTTAGCCTGGGGTGAAAGCTTGTGTTCAGAATGATGATGATGATGATGATGATGATGATGATGATGATGATTACTATTATTATTTGTCTTCTTGCAACAGGGTTTCCCTGTAGCCCCAGCTGGCCTGGAACTCGATATGTAGACCAGGCTGACCTTGAACTCACAGAGATCCACCTAGCTCTGCCTCCCAAGTGCTGGGATTAAAGGTGTGCACCACCATGCCTGGCAAGGATTATTATTTTTATTTTCTCCTGTGAGGCTTGTTGTGTATCTTGCAGGATATGCTTGTTACTCTCCAACTTATGCTGCTGACAGGGAAGCCTCAAGCCTGACAGTGCTAAGTTCTGAGACTGTGTCAACCGGCAGTGCAAGGCAGCTAGACTTGCCTTCTGAGTTCTGCATTGCTGGTAAAATAGTCCAGACTGCCTTGCTGGTCTTTTCTCCATCATCATAAGCAGAATAACTGTGTGTGTGTGTGTGTGTGTGTGCGCGCGCGCGCCTGTGCATGCACGCTGCGGTTGAAACCTACCTAGCCCTGTATATGCTAGGTGAGCTTTATGTGACTGAACCATATCCCAGCCCTAGAATGACTCTGGATCACTCTTGATTATCTCTGGAAAGTATTAACTACTTCAAGGCTGGGCATATAAGTGCTTGCCTCTTATGGCTTAAATACCACAAACAAAGTAAAAAAAAAAAATGTCTATAAGAACCTTGGCTAGAAATGGGAGGGGGTTTAATGTGCTCTCTCTCTATTTTTTTTTTTTTGCCTTTTTGAGACAGGGTCTCCTTGTAGCCCCAGCTGTCCTGGAACTCACTATGTAGACCAGGCTGACCTCAAACTCACAGAGATCCGCCTGCCTCTGCCTCCCAAGTGCTGGGATTAAAGGTGTGCACCACCACGCCAAGCAAATGCTCTATAATATTTTATCAGAAGCAAAAGTTGAAGAGCTCAACCTAGAGTAGCTGGTGGATTTAATTGAATGCTTTTAAACTTCAAGAGGAACATTTGAAAAAATAGAGTAAAATATTGTAGAAGTCATGAACCTAAATAGAACTATGGAAATTGAGAATATACTGTATTGATCGAACTTGTAAGTAAGAACCAAGAGCAAAGCAGAACAAATAGCACTGTTTTATATTCAAAATGAGACTGCTTGTATTTAGTATATCAGACTTTCACATGAACTTTTCCTCATTCTTAGCTCCAAATATAATGTTAAAGCCTCTGTAATCTTTTGACAATGCCTTTGTCTGACAACATCATCACAGTGCATTTTCATTAAACCAATCTTCGTAGAAGTAATTGCTCTTCCAGAATGCTTTGGAATTCAGTTGACCTGAGTGCTGGCTTCAGTATATACTGCTTGTTTTAGCAAATTCTCATCAGATTTCTTGTATCTGTTCCTGCCAAGAAGGTAGAATGTTCTGGCTGGGGAGATGGTTCAGTTGGTAATGTGCTTGTTAGGCAAGCCTGAGAACCTGAATATGGCTCTTCAGCACCCACATAAAAAAGCCAGGTCTCATAGCCTGTGTCTGTAATTCCAGTGCTGGCTAGGCAGGGACAAACAGATCCCTGATCAGCCAGTGTAGCCAGTTGGTAAGCTCCAGGTTTAGTGAGAGACCCTGTCTCAAAAAAACAAGATTGGAGCAATAGAGGACAGTCACCAATATCAACCTCACTTCTTCACTAGTACATCCACCATGCACACCAATATATATGCATGTAAACACAAATAAAAAGCAAACACAAAAAGGAGATATAAATTTTTAATTATCCACCCCAGAAATGCATTCCTTGTCACAAATGAGCAAGAGCCCATCAGGGGGATGTTTTGAGTCTATATTTTGTCTTGTCAGGTAATGTCTTCAGGGTTTGAATAGCCACCATTGTGATAAAATACTATTTATTTATTTATTTACTTATTTATAATCATCCTAAATATTATTTCCACTTTTCAAACATTCCATCTTAAAATACCACACACTGAGTGTATTAGTCAGGGTTCTCCAAAGAAACAGAACCGATAGAATGAAGATATATATAGAGAGATTTATCAGCTTAGCTCACAGGATAGAGTCCGAGTAGTCCAACAATGGCTGCGCCACACTGGAGAGGCTGAGAATCTGTAGTCGCTCAGTCCACAAGGCTGGATGTCTCAGTAGTTCCAATCTGGCACTGAAGGTCTGACGAATTCCTAAAGATCAGCTAGCCTTCAGTCTACAGCAGCAAGACGAACTCACCAGTGAGAGAGAAGGCAAGCAGCAAGAAGCCTAGCGTTCTCCTCTGCTGTGGCCTTTTATAGGGGCTGCCATCAGAAGGTAACACCCACATTTAGGGCGTGCCTTCCAGCTTCAGATGATCCAATTAAGAAGATCTCTCTCATTTCAGTTAATCCCAGATCCTGTCAAATTGACACCCAGGATTAGTCATCACACTGAGGTGGGTAATGGCACCACAGCCTAGACGCTTAGGGCTGAGAGCTCCCTGCCATACCCGCCCCCTCTCAACT